GGCTGGTCCAGGAGGTCACGAAGACTCGGAGACGACTGAACGTATGCAACACATTGGATTCACAATTACATTGGTTAACAAACAGACAAAGGGGAATTACATTTTCACTCAACATTCACACACATGTACATGCATTCATACTCATGCACCCAAATATTATTATATCCGTTTTCTCCTCATTTTGATAATCTTTATTAGGTTTCCAGTTTACATTTAAAAAGATAGAGATGTGTAGCCAAGGCTACAAGAAAGTGCAATGTGTAGAAAGTTGATATTACCCCGAAATAGAGTAGTAGAAGAAACGGTGATGTGTGAGAGGGGAGGGAGAAGAGGAAAGCAGAAAAGAAAAAAAAAATAGAAATAGATTTAAAGTATCCCAAGCCAAGTTAAAAACAAGAGAAAGTAGCAGTTGTTGCTTTCGACTTCCTGGGGTCTTCTGGAGGTCTACTCTATTGCCCTTTGCGGAATCTTTCTCTTCTTCTTCTCTCCTCATGTTCTTCCTTTTTTCTCGTCCTTCCCTCCATCTCCTCCTTCATTAGATCAGAATCTTTTTATTCTTTTGCTTATTCTTTTCTCCTGTCACGATGCCAGGGCTCTGCCTTATTCAGGTAGAGATGAACCAAACAAATACCCAGTTTGTATCAAACAGTTTAATTAAAACAGCACTTACTTTCTGGCTTTTTAAATAAAATATAAAACATAAAGATTGCACTCAGCTACAGAATATAAAGTAAAAACAGCAAACACTGTTGCAGGTTCAAGATAACTCAGTCAAAAGGTCCAGTCGAGCGGTCAAATGCAGAGAGTTCAGTAAACAAAGTCCAGGGATCAAGAGTCTATACCATAGTCAAAAGCTCGTCCAAAGATCCAAGGTTCCAGGATTCCAAAGGTTCAGGCGACAGGTCAGGACACCGAAAGTCTACAAATCTGGAGGAAAACCAACAGCATCTACCACCAAGATAAAACAATACTTTTCTCCCAAGGCTAGCTCCTTATATCCAGAAACACCCTAATGACACTCCTCTCCACGCGGGCGCGCAAGCGCGCCCCGACGAGCGCTACGACCCTGACAGAGAACCAACGCACAACTACTCACGGTCGCAAACTTTCAAAGAATACCGGAGCCGCCTAAGACCGGTCTATAAGGCTGAGACATACCAAGACAAACGATGCGCAACACACTCGCCCGCACTTCGTCTCGCTTATCCTCCTGCTACAACACACCCAAACCCACGCCCCTCAACCTTTCGCATCACGCGCCTTGCTTTCACCCATGACCTCTACTTACAGCTAATACTTCCAGCCTTTGCAACTCACCCACAGTCCAGCTGTCCCGCTCTATATATGCGCGTAGTATATCGCACAACGACCATCTTTTACTCCGCAGAGAAGATCCCAAAGCGCATCACGGGTTTTCATTAGGAAACATGTGACGCAGTACCTCCCCACAAGAGAATGCCTAGGGTTGAGCATTCGACCCTCTGTATACCCCCGTACCTAGTCTTTGCATCATGTAGAGCTTCAAAGATAGAGACCGCCTATTTAACTATCAAAGCCCACAGTAAGAGAAACAAAACAAACACCACAGCACATAGTAAAGGGTTAACACAACAACATCAAAAGGCAATTAAAACACATTATACAAACATATCAATTCAAAAACAATCATTATCATAAACGTGCGCCTCAGCAAACAAATCAGAATCAGAATCCGCAATCAGAATCCTTTATACCAATTCCTATGTTCAGTTGTACCATCTTACTGTATTTCGTTGCACTATTTAGCCAAACGCTTGTTCGTAAAGCCAAGTCTTGACCTTCCTCCGGAATGCCAGCAGTGAAGGGGCCTGTCTGATGTCCACAGGTAGGGCGTTCCACAGCCGAGGGGCCACCACCGAGAAGGCCCTGTCTCTCGTCCCCGCCAACCGCGCCTGCGATGCGGGCGGGACCGAGAGCAGGGCCTCCCCAGACGATCTTAATGTCAGTTTACCAGCTGCTAGGATTTCTGGGAGTTGAAGGCCAAAAATATCTGGGGACCCCAGGTTGAGAACCTACTTTAGAACTAAGACTTAAATTAACCCTTCCGTTACCAACTGCTAGGTCTACCATCACCAACCACCATCAACTGCAGAACATGATACATGACATCCCCCTCCTTGGAGAAGCACCTGTAAGGCCAGACCCTGCTTTCCTGCAGCTTGCCAATGAATAGTTCCAAACCTTCCATAACTTCAAAATTCCAAAATGCATTCTTTCCCTAAGCACAATGCCAAGGGCCAGATCTCTGTTTCCATATAGAGGAACCTGACTCCCTGCACAAAATCCAAGATTCCAAAAGTGCACTTCTTCTTCTTTCCTTGAGAAAGAAGCCTCAAAGTGACCCGACTGCTCCCTTGCAAATCTGCCACTCTCTGAATACACCATCTCTCTCCTTCCCATGGAGCAGAGAGGCGGGTGGAACAGACTCCTCAGGTCTGCCACAGTTTGAGCATTATTAGACAGAGTCTTTTATAGGAATACTCTGCTGATGTCATCCCAAAGTTGTAAATTAATGATAGATGTCTTCCATCCTGGCTCCATCTCAGTTTCCTGGCCAGATGTTGATTCTTCTTGATTGCTGTTGATCTTATGTTGACTTCCTTCTTAACATTTTAATTACAGTCCAGCAAGTAGGTAGTTAGTCATTGCAGGCCTTAATGTTATACTGGTGTCTCCAAAATTATTAACTCCATCTATACATCCTTCCATTCTTCCATTCATTCCCACACATATATTAAATCCACATTAATCAAATCTGCAGTGATATTTTTGTGACAAATACTGTGCCGATACTTGGCAGCTCCATTCAGAGAAGTCATAGGGAGGAGGGAGCAAGCTTGTTTTCTGCTGCCCAGGAGACTAGGACGCGGAGCAATGGCTTAAATTACAGGAAAGAAGATTCCACCTGAACATGAGGGAGAACTTCCCAACTTATTTATTTATTGTGTCAGCAGCAACCAGACATTTGTATTACATATTTAACAAAAACAAACAAACAAACAAACAGATAAAACACAAAGTTTGCAAGGTTGGTAGTTGATTAAATGTCCTTTGACCAGTATCTGGCCACTTGGAGTGCCTCTGGTGTTGCTGCAAGAAGGTCCGCCATTGTGCATGTGGCAGGGCTCAGGTTGCATTGCAGCAGGTGGTCAGTGGTTTGCTCTTCTCCACACTCGCATGTCGTGGATTCCACTTTGTGGCCCCATTTCTTAAGGTTGGCTCTGCATCTCGTGGTGCCAGAGCGCAGTCTGTTCAGCGCCTTCCAAGTCGCCCAGTTTTCTGTGTGCCCAGGGGGGAGTCTCTCATTTGGTATCAGCCATTGATTGAGGTTCTGGGTTTGAGCCTGCCACTTTTGGACTCTCGCTTGCTGAGGTGTTCCAGAGAGTGTCTCTGTAGATCTTAGAAAACTATTTCTTGATTTAAGTCGTTGACGTGCTGGCTGATACCCAAACAGGGGGTGGGCTGGAGACGTCTCTGCCTTGGTCCTTTCACTAGAGGCCGGATGGCCATCTGTCAGGGGTGTTTTGAATGCGATTTTCTTGCTTGTCAGAATGGGATTGGCCTGGACGGCCCACAAGGTCCCTTCCAACTTTAGGGCATTCGGAGAACGTGGCTGGTCCAGCAGAGTTGATGGCAGAGGAGCATCGCTTCAATGCTGGTGGACTTTGCTTTCACATTTCACAGGCATATAGCAGGGTTGGGAGGACAATGGCTTTATAAACAAGCACCTTGGTCTCTCTTAGGATGTCCTGGTCCTCAAACACTCTCTGCTTCATTCGGAAAAATGCTGCACTTGCAGAGCTCAAGGGGTGTTGTATTTCAGTGTCTGGCATTGCAGACAGATTGGCTGGTGCCTGCTGGAAGAGCACTTTGGTTTTCTCAATGTTCAATGACAGGCTGAGCTTCTCGTATGATCATTATATATCTTCTCATATGAACATTATATATCTTCTATGACAGGATACACATTTTACTCTCATGCCTTTCAGATTTTCCATTTTCCATTCAATTAATATCTATCTATACAGTGTATTGTCGAAGGCTTTCATGGCCGGAATCACTGGCTTGTTGTAGGTTTTCCGGGCTATATGGCCATGTTCTAGAGGCATTTTCTCCTGACGTTTCGTCTGCATCTATGGCAAGCATCCTCAGAGGTAGTGAGGTCTGTTGGAAGTAGGAATATGGGTTTATATATCTGTGGAAATACCAGGGTGGGACAAAGGACTTTTGTCTGCTGTAGCTAGGTGTGAATGTTTCAACTGACCACCTTGATTAGCATTTAATGGCTTGACAGTGCCTGAGGGAATCTTTCTTTGAGAGGTGATTTGATGTGCCTGATGGTTTACTCTCTGTTGTTTTGCTGTTGTAATTTTTGAGTTTTTTAATACTGGTAGCCAGATTTTGTTCATTTTCATGGTTTCCTCCTTTCTGTTGAAATTGTCCACATGCTTGTGGATTTCAATGGCTTCTCTGTGTAGTCTAACATGGTGGTTGTTGGAGTGGTCCAGCATTTCTGTGTTCTCCAATAAAATGCTGTGTCCAGGTTGGTTCATCAGGTGCTCTGCTACGGCTGACTTCTCTGGTTGAAGCAGTCTGCAGTGCCTTTCATGTTCCTTGATACATGTTTGGGCGCTGTGTTTGGTGGTCCCTATGTAGACTTGTCCACAACTGCATGGAATACGGTAGACTCCTCACTACCTCTGAGGATGCTTGCCATAGATGCTGGCGAAACGTCAGGAGAAAATGCCTCTAGAACATGGCCATATAGCCCGGAAAACCTACAACAACCCATCTATACAGTGTTTTTCTGTTTCTGTTGCTTTCACTTCCAAATTTACTGATAGCTCCCAAGGCAGATGAAGATGGTGGTGGTGGTGATGATGATGGTGGTGACTGTCCTGTTGTGAGTGCAGGAAAAGGAAGCTGTTTTTTTCAAGTTCCCTCTCTCCTTTCTCTTTCAGCATTTCCACATCTTCCAGAATGAATCCGGTTTACAGCCCCGTTCAACCTGGGGCTCCCTATGGAAACCCTAAGAACATGGCCTATACAGGTAAGATGGTTCTTATAGTGAAAATATCTCGGTCTTGCCTGGTCTTTATCCATTCATACATTGCTGGGGGTGCTCACAGGTTGCTTCTATATATTCCCCTCCTCTGTGTGTAGAGAGCGGCGTCTGAGAGAGATGCGTGTTAGCCTTGCCTGCTTTTCTGGCATCTAGGGATTTATTTTTATGGAGGAGAATTTCAATCAGAGCAGCCTCTACCATTGGTCTGAAGCCATGCAGCCCAGACACAGCTTTACCATGCAATCAGGACTGAAATATAGTTAGCATTGGTTAGCTGGTAAATCAGAATAATGGCCAGAACAGTTCTGTGAAGTAAATTGCTATAGGCATATTTTTTGCAGTAACAGAAACTCCGCACCAGGTTCGGGTTGATGCAAATTCTCTCTCTTCAAGTGTGATGCCATCTGACACTTCAGCTTGTGCTTAGTACATGGTGTGTCTTCTTGTTTGGGATCCAAGAGCTTATTTTGAGCCTGCACACATTCTATCGAAGGCAACCGCTTTGCAATGATGAACTTTGCTGTGGATTGCCATTAGAGTGACTTGTGAGTTTGGCTCAAAGAAACTGATGCATATGGTTGCAATTTAATGGGCTGAGATTCTATAGAAAAGCCATAACGCGTTGGTGGAAAGTATTCATTTCTATTGCAGATCTACCTCTCTAAAAGAGCTTTCCTCAAAATTGCACTCATAGAAGCGAATGAAGTTTATTTATCGTGTCAGAAGCAAACTGAGGGTGCAGTTGTAATGCAAACAATGTTTAAAAACTTGGCATTCTCCTAAATGTCTTTTGACCAGTAGCTGGCCACTTGCAATGCCTCTGGTGTTGCTGTAAGAAGGTCCTTCATTGTGCATGTGGTAGGGCTCAAGATGTGTTGTAATAGGTGGTCTGTGATTTGCTCTTCTCCACATTCGCATGTGGTGGACTCTGCTCTGTGGCTCCATTTCATAAGGTTGCTCTGCATCCCGTGGTGCCAGAGCGCAGTCTGTTCAGTGCCTTCCAAGTTTTGTGTGCCCAGGAGGGAGTCTCTCATTTGGAATCAGCCATGAGTTGAGTTTCCCTTTTTGGCCTGCCACTTTTGGACTCTTGCTTGCTGAGGTATTCTTGCAAGTGTTTCTGTAGCTAACGCAATACAGTTCTAAGAATCCTTGAGTATTGACCATGCTCACTGAGGATAATAGGAGCTACAGTGTGACAACATCTAGGGATCTAAGAAAATGAATGCTTAAATGTCTTGAGTATTGAGTTCCTCACAAGAGTTCCTTAATAGAAGGGGTGAAAATCACAAGATTTCCCTCCTATAATTTCCTGTGGGTTGTCATGCCTATTTGCAGTTGTCTTGGATTTGCATACTTATTGATGTATCAGCAGGTGTTTGGCATATATGGCACCTTGTTCACCATGCCTTATCAATAACATGAAACTAAGTATGATCATAATCCCTTCTTATGGTTTGGAGGTGGAAGCTAGTACACAGGAACTAAATGTTGAGTTTGATTTGAATTTCCTCATTCTTCTGGATCCACTCACTGTGTGCTCGTAAAGGTAGATCTTGGGGGATGTGTTAAAGAGCCTGAATGTTTGAAGGCATCTTCATTTCTGCCGCAGGAGCCATTTGAATGAATCTCATCCCCAAGAAAGTCCTTTTGGTAGCAAATTAGGACGATGGGCAGGTTGGTCAACTTCAGTTGACATGCAGAGACCTCAAATGTGTGCTAAGCAGATAATGCAAACAGAGGTGAAGGAAGAGGGCAGGATAAGGAGGGGAGGGCCACAGGCCCCTAGACTGAGATTGAGAGAGATGTGGGGAGAGAATGAATCTCTGGCTGGAAGACCCACATGAATTGCATAAGAGTCTGAAGAAGGAGAACGATATATTTGAACAGACACAGACTGTTCCAGCAGAAAATCTGGAGATTGCTGTGAGGGAATAAAAGGTCAGGAGAGGCTGAGGATAAGTATTCGTGTCATGTCTGAGCGTGATTCTCTGTGTGCGTCTCTGTAATGTGCATGAAGATAATGTTCAATAGCATTAAAATATGTTACCTTGTAAACAGAGCGGACGTGCTTCTGCGCTTGTGACGTAGAGGTAGGCTGGGATCTATTTAATGTTTCATATATGATATTGAACTATCCTGATCAGTGTCTACCTTTGAAACTACCTTCGTCTCTCCAAATTTGCAGATTTGATTATTCACAGGTTTGATTGAAAAGTTCTCTTTAGGAACCTCTAGGTCCCCCAGTGGGGCTCTGTGGCAGTTCCTCCAGCCATACTGGAGAACCTAAGGATTTCTAGAGAGAACTCCAATTTAGGGATCTGTAGATTCTCCAGTGTGAGTCTTTAGTCAGCTTCAGGTAAAAAACCAACAGTTTCTTTATCCACATTCACTTTCACGGGGCTCCTGTGCCCCCCAACCTTAGCAAATGTGGAAGACTGACTATAGTGGTCATGCATCATGTTTTGCAGTTGATGGCAGGCCTAGCAGTTGGTGATGGAAGGGGTTAATGTAAGTCTTAGTTCCTAAGGACTGAGTAACCTGTAAGTGTCATGTATCATCTTCTGCAGTTGATGGTGGTGGTTGGTGATGGAAGGGTTAATATAAGTCTTAGTTCTAAAGGGCTGAGTAATCTGTAAGTAAGAGTTCATGGGTGAAAGCAATTAAGGGCGGAGGTGTGCAAGAGATAGGTTGCAGCTGGGTGTTTCTGGATATAATAAGTTAGCCTTGGAACTGATCTTTGGGAGAAAAGTATTTGTCTTATCTTGGTAGTAGATGCTGCTGGTTTTCTCCCGGGTTTGTGGATTTTCGGTGTCCTGACCTGTCTCCTGAACCTTTGGAATCCTGGAACCTTGAATCTTTGGACTGGCTTTTGACTACGGTATAGACTTTTGACCCCTGGACTTTGTTTATTGAACTCTTGGCGTTTGACCACTGGCCTGGACCCTTTGACTACGGAGTTATCTTGAACCTGCAACAGTGTTTGCTGTTTTTATTTTATATCCTGTGGCTGAGTGCAATCTTTATGTTTTATATTTTGGATTATTAAAACAGCCAGAAAGTAAGTGCTATTTTAATTAAATTGTTTAATACAAACTGGGAATTTGTTTGATTCATCTCTGCCTAAATATTGGCAGACCCCTGGCAATGTGACAGAAAGTGAGAGTTTGCAGGTGAAAGCAATTAAGGTTGTAAGCATGCAAGAGATAGGTTTCAGCTGGGTTTTACTGGTTATAAGGAGCTAGCCCTGAGTTTGATTTTGGGAGAAAAGTATTTGTTCTATTTGGCTGTGGATGTGGCTGGTTTCCCCCCAGGTTTGTAGATTTTCGGTATCCAGACCTGTCTCCTGAACTCTTGGAACCCTGGAACCTTGAATCTTTAGACTGGCTTTTGAATACAGTATAGACTCTTGATCCTTGGATTTAACTCACTGAACTCTCGACGTTTGACTAGACCCTTTTACTATGGTGTTCTCTCGAATCTACATTAGCGTTTGCTATCAGTCTTTGCTTTATATTCTGTGGCTGAGTGCTATCTTTATGTTTTACATTTGGACTATAAAAACAGCCAGGCAGTAAGTGCTGCTTTAATTCAACAGTTTGACACAAGCTGGGTGTTTGTTTTGGTTCACCTCTGCCTGCATACCGGCAGAGTGCTGGCAATGTGGCAATAGTAAAATAATAATAATAATAATAATAGGCTAAATTCATAATATTGTTCACTTATGGGGGCAAAGAGCTTCATGGCTTTTCTAATGAAAAGTTTTCTTGCCATATTGATAGCTGACAAAGCTGTTGGATGTCCATCTTGATCTGCAGGTGATTTCTCCTTTTCAAGGGCTAAATTGGATTCAAAGTCAAGTCTTCCAGAAATTATCCCTTTCTCTCAGTCTTCTTTTCTCCAGACTCCCTCAGCTGCTTCTCAGAGAAAGACTATCCTCTTTTCCCTTCCTTGCCCCTCACCTTTGCCCGCTTTCTTCCATCATCTTTCACTCTCCATCAAGCAGATGCACCTACACCTTCCTGGGAAACTGCCCTTTTTGCTGCGCTGTGTGCCCTGTTCCAGGTGCTTCTCCTGAGGAGGTGGCCACTGCAGCCAGAAGGCACCGCAGGCTGCTTCTCCTTGTTCTCCTTTCCCTCTACCTCCCTCTGCCTTTCTTTCTTTTTTATTTAACATATTTTTTCACTGCCTTTTGGATCCTAAAAGCAATTAACACTCACTCTCTCTCTCTCTCTCTCTCTCTATATATATATATATATATATCCACAATAATACTATTAAATGCTTGTTTTTCACTTTCTCTCTCTTCTTTCTCTTTAGATTTAGCCAGCTGTGCTCTCTATCTCCATTCATTAATTATACTTATTTCTCTTCCTACCCTCTTGCCACTCCCAGTTGCTGTCTTTTCATTTAGTGTGATTTTAACTGACTTGTTTTCATAACATTGTGTTTACTTCTATTTTGATGTTTATATTTTGTAGGTTTTTTAATGGTATCATTTTTCAGATTATGAGCTGCTCTGAGTCTCATTCGAGAGGGTACAAATAGTAATAATAATCATTGTTCTGTCGCGCTCTGGGCTTGAAACGAATTGCTTTTAAAACAGGATGTGCAACTTTAACCCAGTGGGAAGCCAGGGGGCCCGAAGAGAAATTCTTAAGGATTTTCACCATAAACAGTCTTTAGAGGACTTGTGAAATATAACAAAGTCTTTTATTGGTGAACAATCAACAGAAACTTCCTTTGTCTTCAAAAGGTTAAACAAATGCTTCCAGGCATTGGTGCAACTGGTGGTTTCTAACTGTTACTTTTACTCTAAAGGAAAATCCCTTTCCAAATTTCTCCCAGGCTAACTATGAACCTAAACCGAACTGATGTGGGCTCCACTACCGGGTTGAACTGCATCTCAAAGCACCGAGTGGACCTACCTGTAGGCCTGTAGTCACTTCAGCTGGAGTTCTTAGATATTCAAAGCTGTTTTTCCCTCC